CAGTGCATTCTGGGCATTTGGGAGGTTCTCCTGTGCTTATCTTTAAAAACTGCTTCTAAACGCAAATGCTCATAAACGCGTAATGCAAACGCGGCTAAACACACGTTTTTTTAACCTATGTTTCCCATCGTTCAGAAGTGTCCCGTGTACATATGGGGCCTTATGCAGTTATCGTACAGAAATTACATTCATTTTAAAATCAAACGTTAAAAGCAAAACATCATTTTCAAATGACATGCGTCCATTCATCGAATGCTCAAAGAATTTTCATACGACCTTTTCTTATGGATATTCTCCTCCGAAAATCTACATCTGTATGGCCAGTTTTAGACTTATGGCCCGTACACACGATAAGAAAATCGCACAAAGATTTTTGTACGAGGAACGATCGTCCAATAATCTGATTGTTAGTACACAGCTTGCGAGAGCCGATCATGACAGTTCATGCGACGGTAATAGACGGGACAAGTGCGAAAATTTAAAATACTGCTACAGGGTGGCAGGTCTGCACAAAGCCATGTGTATGTGTATATATATATATATATGTGTGATTTGCAACTCCGGGTAGGGAGCACACACAAGTGTGTGCATCGCCCTACCAACGCCGTCATAGGCAGCTAGGGATGTCAATCACCGGGTCCCGGTAAACAACACAGGTCTCTCTCCTGCCAGCAAGGACATGCTGCTGTGTATCTCTGCACAGTGTGTCTCTCTAGTAAAACACACCCAGCACACAGTTAACCCTTTGATTGTCCCAGATGTTAACCACTTAATGCCCAGTGCCATTAGTACAGTGTCAGTGCATTTTATTAGTGCTGATCACTGTATTGGCATCATTGGGATGTCAGTGGCAGTTAGTCAGTTCCCCCCCCCAGTGTCAGAATTTCCCGCTATAAGTCGCTGATCGCCACCAATACTAGTATAAAAAAAATGTAAATAAAAATCCCAGTATGTATACCGCCATTTGTAAACGCTATAACTTTCACGTAAACCAATTCATTTACACGTATTGGGATTTTTTTGTTAGCAAAGACATGGCGCAGAATACATTTTGGCCTATGACGATTTTAGATTTTAAAATTTTTTTTATTGGACATGTTTTATAGCAAAAAGTCAAAAAAAAATTTTTCTCAAAATTGTTGGTTTTTTTTTTTGTTTATAGCACAAGAAATAAAAAATGCAGAGGCGATCAGATACCATCGAAAGAAAGCTCAATTCGTGGAAAAAAAAGGACATAAATTTAATTTGGGTGCAGTGTTGCATGACCGTACAATTGTCAGTTAAAGTAACGCAGCGCCATATTACAAATGGCTTGGTCAGGAGGGGGGAGGGGGGGGGAATCCTCTGGAGGCAGGGGCGGACTGACCATTTGGAAACTTGGGCACTGCCCGAGGGCCCGGGGTCAGTAGGGGGCCCCATGAGATGCCCCTGGTACCTTTTTCATAGGCTTTTTTGAGTTTGGGCAAGGACACAGGGGCCCCATGATCCCCTATTGCCCGGGGGCCCCATGAGTTGTCAGTCCACCCCTGTCTGGAGGGCGAGGGGTTGAAGTGCAAAAAATGCGTCTCCATTGCCTGTTTTTAATGTGCTTCAACTGTACATCTGAACAAGCCTGTAAACTCCCCACACATGCTACAGTCTGATGTGCAATCTTCTGTTATGGCGGCCATACATGCTTCCTTTTAATTATCCAATCAATGTGCAATTTGATCAAAACAATCCAATCAGCAAGCAATCAAACAGCCATAACTTCCCTCTTCCCTCCCAATTGATTTAGAGTCGGCCAGGGCGCCAAATTATCGATTTGATTTGCATTAATTGGCAACATACTTTGTCCGTGAGTATGATTGTATTTCAGTTGGCCGGATTATGAGGTTAGATGGTGGAAACAAACATGTGAAATCCACTTGCCTGTGGGTGGCGTATTAGTCTGATGGATTGTTCGCTGTAGATCGATTATTCCTATTGTAAGAGAATGATCGGAAAAGAAATTGACATTTATGTATGGCCACCACTAAAGTGTTATTAGCAGGAAAATCAGTCTGTATACGCAGTAAAGCATGCTTGTTATGCTCACAGTGGAACCTAAGGGGTTAATCACTGTTTGATCCTGTCTTCTCTGATCCTCCCCTTCTTCTACTGTCCCCAATCCATAGATTGTCCCCAATCTGATATAACAGAGCCTTGGGGGCAAGCTGCACATTCCCAGTTTAGTGTGTATTGCTAGAGAGTTTTTTTTTTCTTGGGAGAGTGCATGTGATCAGCACAGGGCCAATCAGCACAGTCTAGACAGAGGGTCAGGGGGTCATGCAGCCTCATTGGATAGTCAGAGGAGAATGAAAACTCCTCCTTTTTCCACAGTCCCCAATCCATCTGCTGATAGAACTGAGCCTTGGGGCAAGCTGCACATGATCAATTTAGTGTGTATTGCTAGAGAGGTTTTTTTTTTTTTTGGAAGGGTGCATGTGATCAGCACAGGGCCAATCAGCACTGTCCAGACAGAGGATCAGGGGTCATGCAGCCTCATAGGATAGTCAGAGGAGAATGAAAGCTCCTCCTTCTTCCACAGTCCCCAATCCATCTGCTGATAGAACAGAGCCTTGGGGACATGCTGCACATGCTCAGTTTAGTGTGTATTGCTAGAGAGTTTTTGTTTCTTGAGCAAGTGCATGTGATCAGCACAGGGCCAGTCAGCACTGTCCAGACAGAGGATCAGGGGTCATGCAGCCTCATAGGATAGTCAAAGAATGAAAGCTCCTCCTTCTTCCACAGTCCCCAATCCATCTGCTGATAGAACAGAGCCTTGGGGGCACGCTGCACATGCTCAGTTTAGTGTGTATTGCTAGAGAGTTTTTGTTTCTAGAGCAAGTGCATGTGATCAGCACAGGGCCAGTCAGCACTGTCCAGACAGAGGGTCAGGGGTCATCAAGCCTCATAGGATAGTCAGCGGAGAATGAATGAAAACTCCTCCTTCTTCCACTGTCCCTAATCCATCTGCTGATAGAACAGAGCCTTAGGGGCAAGCTGCAGATGCTGAATGTGGTGTATATTACTAGAGAGCTTTTTTTTTGTGGGAGGGTGCATATGATCAGCACAGAGCCAATCAGCACAGTCCAGACAGAGGGTTAAGGGTCCTGCAGCTTCATAGGATAGTCAGAGGAGAATGAAAAGTCCTCCTCCTTCCACAGTCCCCAATCCATCTGCTGATAGAACAGAGCCTTGGGGGCAAGCTGCACATACTAAGTTTGGTGTTTATTGCTAGAGAGTTTTTTTTTTCTTGGGAGAGTGCATGTGATCAGCACAGGGCCAATCAGCACAGTCTAGACAGAGGGTCAGGGGGTCATGCAGCCTCATTGGATAGTCAGAGGAGAATGAAAACTCCTCCTTTTTCCACAGTCCCCAATCCATCTGCTGATAGAACTGAGCCTTGGGGCAAGCTGCACATGATCAATTTAGTGTGTATTGCTAGAGAGGTTTTTTTTTTTTTTGAAGGGTGCATGTGATCAGCACAGGGCCAATCAGCACTGTCCAGACAGAGGATCAGGGGTCATGCAGCCTCATAGGATAGTCAGAGGAGAATGAAAGCTCCTCCTTCTTCCACAGTCCCCAATCCATCTGCTGATAGAACAGAGCCTTGGGGACATGCTGCACATGCTCAGTTTAGTGTGTATTGCTAGAGAGTTTTTGTTTCTTGAGCAAGTGCATGTGATCAGCACAGGGCCAGTCAGCACTGTCCAGACAGAGGATCAGGGGTCATGCAGCCTCATAGGATAGTCAAAGAATGAAAGCTCCTCCTTCTTCCACAGTCCCCAATCCATCTGCTGATAGAACAGAGCCTTGGGGGCACGCTGCACATGCTCAGTTTAGTGTGTATTGCTAGAGAGTTTTTGTTTCTAGAGCAAGTGCATGTGATCAGCACAGGGCCAGTCAGCACTGTCCAGACAGAGGGTCAGGGGTCATCAAGCCTCATAGGATAGTCAGCGGAGAATGAATGAAAACTCCTCCTTCTTCCACTGTCCCTAATCCATCTGCTGATAGAACAGAGCCTTAGGGGCAAGCTGCAGATGCTGAATGTGGTGTATATTACTAGAGAGCTTTTTTTTGTGGGAGGGTGCATACGATCAGCACAGAGCCAATCAGCACAGTCCAGACAGAGGGTTAAGGGTCCTGCAGCTTCATAGGATAGTCAGAGGAGAATGAAAAGTCCTCCTCCTTCCACAGTCCCCAATCCATCTGCTGATAGAACAGAGCCTTGGGGGCAAGCTGCACATACTAAGTTTGGTGTTTATTGCTAGAGAGTTTTTTTTTTCTTGGGAGAGTGCATGTGATCAGCACAGGGCCAATCAGCACAGTCCAGACAGATGGTCAGGGGTCCTGCAGCCTCCTAGGACAGTCAGAGAATGAAAACTCCTCCTACAAGATTACCCAGTGCTCTGCTGGACACTGATAGAAGTCACAACACTGATATAAACTGCTGATGAGAAAAGGTATTTAGAAGTTTATATTTACTACAATAATTGCATTTTGACCTGTATGTGTCTCTGTGGTCTGACTTACAGCATACATGGCTTTTTCTTCTGTACTTTAATCTATTAAATCCTAATACAATGAGATTAAACATAAAATAATTGCTGTGGGAGACAAGATATGATAAATGCAGGTTCTGGGGAAACCAGATATAGTGAATGCAGGGTCCAGGGAGACCAGATATAGTGAATGCAGGGTCCGGGGAGACCGGATATAGTGAATGCGGGGTCCGGGGAGACTGGATATAGTGAATGCGGGGTCTGGGGAGAGCGGATATAGTGAATGCAGGGTCCGGGGAGACCGGATATAGTGAATGCAGGATCGGGGAGACCAGATATAGTGAATGCAGGGTCCGGGGAGACCGGATATAGTGAATGCGGGGTCCAGGGAGACCGGATATAGTGAATGCGGGGTCCAGGGAGACCAGATATAGTGAATGCAGGGTCCGGGGAGCCCGGATATAGTAAATGCAGGGTGCGGGGAGACCAGATATAGTGAATGCAGGGTCCGGGGAGACCGGATATAGTGAATGCGGGGTCCAGGGAGACCAGATATAGTGAATGCGGGGTCCGGGGAGACCAGGTATAGTGAATGCAGGGTCCAGGGAGACCAGATATGGTGAATGCAGGGTCCGGGGAGCCCGGATATAGTGAATGCAGGGTCCGGGGAGACCGGATATAGTGAATACAGTGTCCGGGGAGACCAGATATAGTGAATGCAGGGTCCGGGGAGAACAGATATAGTGAATGCAGGGTCCTGGGAGACCGGATATAGTGAATGCGGGGTCTGGGGAGAGCGGATATAGTGAATGCAGGGTCCTGGAAGAGTGGATATAGTGAATTCAGGGTCCGGGGAGACCAAATATAGTGAATTCTGGGTCCGGGGAGAGCGGATATAGTGAATGCAGGGTCTGGAGAGACCGGATATAGTGAATGTGGGGTCCGGGGAGACCAGATATGGTGAATGCAGGGTCCGGGGAGACCGGATATAGTGAATGCAGGGTCCTGGAAGAGTGGATATAGTGAATGCAGGGTCCTGGAAGAGTGGATATAGTGAATGCAGGGTCGGGGCTTGGGAACACTTTACACCTACCAATAACTATGTAATCATGGGCATGCCTGATTGGATATGAATTGATTTGATATATTGGGTAGGTCCTAATATCATACTCATTTTGTTGTCTCTGGCCCTTTAAATGGAGCAGAACGCAGCAAGCAGAGGCAGAAAATCATCATTGTAGCTTAGTGTAATTCAGCGGCATTAACTCGGAATTGTTCCCAGCATCTGTCCCAAGGGAGGAGAGTTGGTACAGAGCGTGGTTATGTAATCGTGCGCTCTTATGTAACACATGCTTCAAATACAACGTAGCCTGAGATACTAATAGCATTCCTTTCTACAGCACCGGCTTCTCTATAGAGGCAGAGTATAAAAGGGAGCTCCGGGCTCAGAGAACTAGGAACAGGAGGGACTCCACATCCTCTAATATGGGGTCTGCGAGCCAGGAGCCTCCTACCTCCAATGCCTCATTTTATGGCAGGATAACATCAGAGCGATTGTTCAGAGATCAGTTATTGTAGAAATGACAGAGATTTGTAGATTGGGCTTACTAACATTATCATTATTATTGTTTTCATTAGTGTACATTTATATAACTCCGACATATACAGTCATGGCCGAAATTGTTGGCACCCTTGATATTTTTCCTGAAAATCAAGTATTTCACACAAAAAAGGTATTGCATTAACACATGTTTTGCTATACACATGTTTATTCCCTTTGTATGTATTGGAACAAATATAAAACAGAGGCAGAAAAGCAAATATGACATAATGTCACACAAAACCCCAAAAATGGGCTGGACAAAAGTATTGGCACCCTTAACTTAATATTTGGTTGCACACCCTTTGGAAAACATAACTGAAATCAGTCGCTTCCTATAACCATCAATAAGCTTCTGACACCTCTCACCCGGAATTTTGGACCACTCTTCCTTTGCAAACAGCTCCAGGTCTCTCTTATTGGAAGGACTTTTTCCCAACAAAAACCTTTTCCCAACAGCAATTTTAAGATCTCTCCACAGGTGTTCAATGGGATTTAGATCTGGGCTCATTGCTGGCCACTTCAGAACTCTCCAGCGCTTCTTTGCCATCCATTTCTGAGTGCTTTTTGACGTATGTTTGGGGTCATTGTCCTGCTGGAAGACCCAGGATCTTGGACGCAAACCCAGCTTTCTGACACTGGGCCCTACAGTGCGACCCAAAATCCTTTGGTAATCCTCAGATTTCATGATGCCTTGCACACAGTCAAGGCACCCAGTGCCAGAGGCAGCAAAACAACCCCAAAACATCATTGAACCTCCACCATATTTTACCGTAGGTACTGTGTTTTGTTCTTTGTAGGCCTCATTCCGTTTTCGGTAAACAGTAGAATGATGTGCTTTACCGAAAAGCTCTATCTTGGTCTCATCTGTCCACAAGACGTTTTCCCAGAAGGCTTTTGGCTTACTCAAGTACATTTTGGCAAACTGTAGTCTTGCTTTTTTATGTCTCTGTGTCAGCAGTGGGGTCCTCCTGGGTCTCCTGCCATAGCGTTTCATTTCATTTAAATGTCGACGGATAGTTCGCGCTGACACTGATGCTCCCTGAGCCTGCAGGACAGCTTGAATGTCTTTGGAACATGTTTGGGGCTGCTTATCCACCATCCGGACTATTCTGCGTTGCAATCTTTCATCAATTTTCCTCATCCGTCCACGACCAGGGAGATTAGCTACAGTGCCATGGGTTGCAAACTTCTTGATAATGTTGCGCACTGTGGACAAAGGCAAATCTAGTTCTCTGGAGATGGACTTGTAACCTTGAGATTGTTGATATTTTGCCACAATTTTGGTTCTCAGGTCCTCAGACAGTTCTCGTCTCCTCTTTCTGTTGTCCATGCTTAGTGTGGCACAGACAGACACACAATGCAAAGGTTAAGTGAACGTCTCTCCTTTTTATCTGCTTTCAGGTGTGATTTCTATATTGCCCACACCTGTTACTTGCCCCAGGTGAGTTTACAGGAGCATCACATGCTTGTAACATTCTTATTTATCCGCAGTTGTGAAAGGGTGCCAATACTTTTGTCCAGCCCATTTTTGGAGGTTTGTGTGACATTATGTCGAATTTGCTTTCTTTCCTCCCTTTTTTTGTTTTGTCCCAATACACACAAAGGGAATAAACATGTGTATAGCAAAACATGTGTTAATGCAATACGTTTCGTGAGAAATACATGATTTCCTGGAGAAATATCAAGGGTGCCAACAATTTCGGCCATGACTGTACAGTATATATAGTCTATTTTACCCACCACAATCTCACACCATTATTAGTATATATTTATATAGCTCTGACATATACCGCAGTGCTGTACAGAGATCACTGAGCCAATCACATCAGTCTCTGTACCACAGGAGCTTACACTCTAATGTCCCCCCACAGTCACACACTATTATTATACATTTATATAGCTCTGACATATACCGCAGTGCTGTACAGAGATCACTGAGCCAGTCACATCAGTCTCTCTACCAGAGGAGCTTACACTCTAATGTCCCCCCCCACAGTCACACACTATTATTATACATTTATATAGCTCTGACATATACCACAGTGCTGTACAGAGATCACTGAGCCAGTCACATCAGTCTCTGCACCAGAGAGGTTGGTTGTGCTGTAGTTCTCTCCCCAGACACTAGGGGGCAGGCCTGCTTGCCTGACCCCCAACGACGATGAATGATTTTGGGATAGGCCATGTTCCCCCTGAGGGACCCAGCTTGCTCGCCAAAGCTTCAACTACACCTGAAGACCTTGGCTCTGGCCCTAAAAAAGGGGAATCCCTCCCTGCCTTCAGAGAGCTGGTTGCTGACCGTTTGGTGAGAATTACAAAGGAGGAGGAAAAGCTGATGAATCTGAAAGCCAATTATAAGAAAAAGAAAGTTCTAAATGATAAAGCATGGAGCAGCAGGCGGCAGAGTCTGAAGCCGGAGCTGAAAGGTTTGGAGGACGCCATCAAGAAGCAGCAGAGTTTGGTGAATGCCCTGAAGGAAAAGAGCGGAGCGTTCAAGGAAAAGTTCCAGAATGAAGAAAGATTCCAGAAAATGAAGGGAGACACCAGTAAAGCTTCAGCATCGGCGGTGGCAGTACGGGTGGAGAGCGAGGAGGGGGTCCTGGATGCTGCCCCTGTTATTCCATCCACCTCACGATCTGTTTCACTGGAGGAAATGGCGGCCTCTGCCTCACCCCCTCCCCAGCAAGCTGGAGGAACAGCACAGGAGGTAGAGGAAAATGGTAGAGGGCTGCTGAAGTTTATTCTCTCCCCTAAGTGGAAGAACCTTCTGTTTTTCAGAAGATTCTGAAGATGAGCATGATGGTGAGGACTCTGTACCTGGTCCTGTAAAGGAAAAGTCTACAGAAAAGCCACGCTTTATTAAAACTGTCAGTATGGATTCCAGTATGGGGAGCAGTGAGCAGAGCAGTATGGACTCCAGTACGGGGAGCAGTGTGCAGAGCAGTATGGACTCCAGTATGGGGAGCAGTGAGCAGAGCAGTATGGACTCCAGTATGGGGAGCAGTGAGCAGAGCAGTATGGACTCCAGTACGGGGAGCAGTGTGCAGAGCAGTATGGAGAGCAGTGAGCAGAGCAGTATGGACTCCAGTACGGGGAGCAGTGTGCAGAGCAGTATGGGGAGCAGTGAGCAGAGCAGTATGGACTCCAGTACGGGGAGCAGTGTGCAGAGCAGTATGGAGAGCAGTGTGCAGAGCAGTATGGAGAGCAGTGTGCAGAGCAGTATGGAGAGCAGTGTGCAGAGCAGTATGGAGAGCAGTATGGACTCCAGTATGGGGAGCAGTGTGCAGAGCAGTATGGGGAGCAGTGAGCAGAGCAGTATGGACTCTAGTACGGGGAGCAGTGTGCAGAGCAGTATGGGGAGCAGTGAGCAGAGCAGTATGGACTCCAGTACGGGGAGCAGAGCAGTATGGACTCCAGTACAGGGAGCAGTGAGCAGAGCAATATGGACTCCAGTATTGGGAGCTGAGCAGTATGGACTCCAGTATGGGGAGCTGAGCAGTATGGACTCCAGTACGGGGAGCAGTGTGCAGAGCAGTATGGACTCCAGTATGGGAGCAGTGTGCAGAGCAGTATGGACTCCGGTATGGGGAGCAGTGTGCAGAGCAGTATGGACTCCATTATGGGGAGCAGTGAGCAGAGCAGTATGGACTCCAGTACGGGGAGCAGTGTGCAGAGCAGTATGGACTCCAGTACGGGGAGCAGTGTGCAGAGCAGTATGGACTCCAGTATGGGGAGCAGTGAGCAGAGCAGTATGGACTCCAGTATGGGGAGCAGTGTGCAGAGCAGTATGGACTCCAGTATGGGGAGCAGTGAGCAGAGCAGTATGGACTCCAGTACGGGGAGCAGTGTGCAGAGCAGTATGGACTCCAGTATGGGGAGCAGTGAGCAGAGCAGTATGGACTCCAGTATGGGGAGCAGTGTGCAGAGCAGTATGGACTCCAGTATGGGGAGCAGTGAGCAGAGCAGTATGGACTCCAGTACGGGGAGCAGTGTGCAGAGCAGTATGGAGAGCAGTATTCAGAGCAGTGTGCAGAGCAGTATGGACTCCAGTACGGGGAGCAGTGT